ACATACTTTGACACACGGACACGGACGTTTGTCGTGTCATTTGGATAACACGCGTCGCACGGTACGGTACACGGGACGAGCGTCCTCGTAAGGACGCTCGATTTGCTGCGTTGTGTGTGTGTATGTGTGTATGGGCGTGTGCGTGCGTACGCGCGATTCGCGAAAGGGACGATGGATTACGTGCTAATAAAGGATATCCGGGCGGGCCAGAAGAACATCAACGTAGTGTTTATCGTTTTGGAGGTTAGCCACCCTACCATCACTAAAGAGAACCGCGAAGTTCGAACGTTCAAAGTGGCCGACAGCACCGCCTGCATGAACGTCTCCATCTGGGACGAGCCCGGACAGCTCCTCGTGCCGGGCGACATCGTACGGCTCACCAAGGGCTACGCGTCCGTCTGGCGGCAATGCCTGACCCTGTACTCGGGCAAGAACGGGGATATACAGAAGATAGGCGAGTTCTGCATGGTGATCAACGAGCAGGTCAACATGAGCGATCCGAATCCGATGTTGTCGCAGCAGTTGGTCAATCAGACCGGCTCGGGCCCGCCCGGCAGTAACGTCAACAACAGCATCACCAACAACGGCAACGCCAACAGTATCTCGGGTCAATCGGGACGACAGCCCTTGGTACACCGAGTCGTCGAGACGCGCGATATTCCAATTTTTTCTAACTTCTTTTTTTTTCGCACACTTGAAATTGTTATTAATTTTCGCTTCAAATTATATCCGTCGAGTTATTTCAATTTTCTTCTAGAATCCAAGTTTATTTTGTTCATCTAAACGAATTTTTTAATAATCTACATAATAAATTTAGTCATAGCTTTTTTTTCGATATCGCGAGAATATGGAACGCAATGTCTTATTTGATATTTCTATCATTTACAGATAAAAACATTTAGAAACGAACACTTGACGTGTTCTTTATTCGCATATATATTAAAGCCATTTAAATATATAAATGAATAACAGATAGCGATAATTTTACATTTATGTATATATGTATTTAAGAACGACTCGTCATTTCGATAATAATATGGAATCCAACGCATCCGGATTAAAAACAACGCGTGCAATTTCTGTTGCAGGCCATCCAAAGTAACACAACAACACCCAGTAGCGGAGCCGCGGCTAGTTCGACGACTGCGAAGAGCGGAAACGGCGGCAGCGGTAACGGGAGCAATGTCGGAAGCGGTAGCGGCAGTGGCGGCAGTTCCGGTTTACCCGGTGGCTCGGTGCGATATTCGTCGTCAGATTCGACGACAAAGTCGGCCTCGACGACCAAGAGCAATTCACGAGGTCGCGGCAGCTACAGAAACGGTAGTCGCAGCGACCGGAGATAACACACGAGAAGGAAGCGGCTAATCATATACGTGTAACGAACAAACGTGTGTGCGCGCGCGCGATAGATTTGCGCGTTTGTGTATAATATACTTTTTTTTTTAAACTTTGATTCTTGACGCGTCTTAAGTGAGAAGTATGTATTTTGAGATCTAGCGGCCAATTGTTGCACGTACTATTCCCGGGCTCGAGTACGCGAATGCGAGTATCATGCGAATATTGTCAGTGATCACCAACAATGATGGATATTCGATTCGTCTTTTGAGAAATTGTTTTCGAGTAATTCTATTGCGCATAGTTTCAAATATTGTGTGTGTGATTAAAGTCTTGCAAATTAAAAAAAAAAAATCTGTAAAAACTTTTATCCTTTTCTCTGTATATTTTGAAAATTTTTTAATTTTTCTTTTATTTAAAAGATATGTGATAATCTCAACAAATGTAAAAGTCTTAAAATCTTTGAAAATTTTGAAGATCTTGAACATACATATTAAAAATTTCATTTATGTGTATAATACAATAGAAATTATATATTATACTATATATATAAAACTCTGTAGAATGTGTAACATATTATATTTATAATGTATATTAATTAAAATATAAAAATAAATTAATGTTAAGGTTAATAGTTAGTTTTTAGTTACAAAATTGGTAAATATAATATATATCCATAAATGTAACATCTCAATGATCACCTTTTTCATTTTGAGATATATTTTGCGGAATGATATCCTGAATGATTCGCACTTTTCTCTATTTTTTATCTTTCTTGCTTTTATGTGATATTTATATACATACATATAAATTAATTAAAATTTATATTAAAAATTTTAATATTACGCGCGTATTTTTATTATTTCCATACGATATATATATTTTAAAAGATATATTATGATCTTTAAAAAAAAATTCTTCAAGACTTTTACCATTGTTAAGATTTTTATAACTTTTTATTGTTAAATCTTATAATATTCAGAATGATTCAAAACATGCTTGTTAGTTTATTGCTGCTTGTCAGTCGTTCTAATCTGTAAATAATAATTGGGAAGTATGTCTTACTTCTAAAGGAATTTTTTTTATGAACGAGCGAATTCTCAGCGACCATCTTTATCACGAGTGATGTTCTTAATTATAATGAAAACAGGTATGGCATCCTATGTCAGTAAAACGAGTAAAACATGTAATATATAGAGGAGTATTCTCTTCATTAACATCATAATTTAACATTATAATTTAAAACTTCGAGAAAAAATACATAATTATTGTATTTAACGTTTATTCAAAGAAAATTTAGATGAGATCGAAAACGATAACTTTAGATAAGATCTGAAGTTTATGGACTGAGCGATTTCTAGTCAGCTGCATGTGTTTACAGAAGAAAATATGTAAAGAGAGTCTCGGAGTCAATTGAGTTTTTTACATATTGCAGAAAAAATTCAAAGTGGTTTAACTTCGTGAAATTATTTTTACTAGTTTTTAGATATAGAATACCATTCTCTGTTATTTAATGTGTGTAATTAAAAAAACTACTCTCTTTTTTACACATATGTGTAGATTTTACGACCTATTGCGAATATTCATATTTGATTATGTTGAACGATGAGTTCATCTTGGCAACCTTGAATAATATTACCTATTATTAAAGTGGAGTAGTCCACAATCGAGACTGACAACATTAATGACATTATTACAATATGTAATAATAAAAATATCCTCTTTATATGGTGCAAATAAAAAAAATCTGAGACTAATGGAGAATGAATGAATTAGAAGACAAATTGGATTGAAATAAAAAAATTCATTTATTTATACACACAGATTTTCATTTATTCAGTCCATTAATTTTGATAAAATCCAATTATTTTGTCTCCCTTTTTCTCTATAAAATAAAAAAATTGCGTTTTTCGAAATCAACAGGCCCTCATCTCATCTTTGATAATAGTCGTACGTTTCTCATTTTACATTAGTGTATAATAAAAACTTCCCTAAATATTTATAGTATAAAATATTATTTCTAGATATATATATGTTCGTAAATATTTTTACCAAATAGTGTCGCGTTGTTGTACACATAAAAAATAAAAGAGGGAGAAAAGAACGATTTATACCGTTAGGTTTTCTCTCTCTCTCTCTCTCTCTCTCTTTCTCGCAATTACATCTTGATCAAAAAAATACCGCGAGCGGTCAAGCAAATTTGTATTAAAATTTGCAGCAGAATTTATTTCATACATAACTCACTTTATTTTTATGGCGTCGCAAGAAACTGCAAATCATTGCTACACGAAATCTTATCTTTGAAATATATATGATAATCGCAAGATTAATTTGTTTCCATTCTCAAACGACCGCAATTTTTTTTTATCGCTCAGCGTAGGTATATTTTATATATTTTGATAATTAGTCCGTTTTGCTACATGCGAGAATTTGCACGGTTTATTTTCTTCGAATTTTATTTCTGCACAAGTGATGACAAAAATTCTTTTCAATTAACACATTAATAATTTGCGCTTACGATTTTTTTAGTTGCAAATTTAACATCAAATTTTTTAATTCGTCGAAAAAAAAAATATTGTCGGTAATGAAAATATATTTGTAGGTGTAAAAAATATGATTTTTATTTCGATGATCTAAAATGCAAAGCAAATCGATTCACGGCGATATCGAATTTGCAACGTAATTCGCAGCTATTTTTTTTTTCTTTTTTTTACGATCTTATATATATGTATAGTAATTACAGATTACAGGTTAGCGTCAACGAACGTGTATACACGGTCGCGACAGGTCGACAGGTGATCAAAGAGAAATCGAAAACACAAGCATGTTTGCTTTGTCATTGCCAACCTGATAAGCGAACCATCCTCGCAGGCACATCCGTGGCAAAGCTCCTGATAAGATCTTTTCGAAGGGTTGATAGTGAGACACGGTGACAGTTGTGACATCACTTTTGCCTTCAGGTTATGTTCGCGCCGAATTACGTTAGTTTATGTTAAAGTCAAAGTGAGCGATTATATTTCCGATAATATTTCCTTTATCGTCGATTTCTTAATCATATTCTCAATTTTTCAATCTTTATTTTCAGGGAAGTAATGGTGATGTTGTGAGTGACATATGGATGCTTTTTTCGAATTTTTATACGAATGATATACGTATCAATTCCTGGAATATACTTGCGATGATTTATCAGTGATTTCCTTATGCATAAAGTTCCAGAAAGTGGTATGTTTTTCACGAATATATTACTTTTACGATTTACTGTTGCGTTTTTTATCGCATCTGGTATCGCGCAGAAATAACAGCACTATGTGTGCTCCATTTTGTAAAACGTTCAATTAAAATCATAGAAAAATGTTTAGAATAATAAATAAAAAATAAGAAGGAAAAAAATGGAAGAAAGTTCTTTTGAAGACAGCAGAAGAAAGTCTCTTCTCTGAAGACAATAAAAGCTAAATACATATCTTGAAATTATGATATACCAGCATTTTTATTGCATAGTTTTGTACAAAGATTATTTTTTTATTATAATATTATACTGTAAACAATAATTTGCACACAATAGTAGAAAAAGATATGTGATATATTTGTAGCTGTTACAAATTATTTATATACATTTTATATAAAGCTTGATAAGAGTTCCAAGAAATATGACTGAAAATTATATGGAGATAAAGATTTTTTATCTTTTTCTATTATTGACAATATATGTGAAATAAAACGAGACGAGTTATACAGGCTGTCCCATAATTCGCGGATCACTCGTGTGTAGGTAGAGCGGGTTAAACCGGAGTAAAAACGTCCTGTACCATTTCGCGATTTTCACAATAATTAATGAGATATCAATTAAAAAAGATCGCAAAATGGTACTTCTCTACTCGGTTTAATCCGTTCTATCTGCACATGACGGGTGATCCGCGAATTATGAGACATCCTGTATATTTTTGCATTGCTTTATTTCTTTGCTCTTTTTATTTATAATAAAAGTGCTGTCAATCATAAATTTCTAAATTTTTTCAGATTTTTTAAATTTAGGAAATATGACACGCTCGCACATAAAATATCAAATTGCTAGAGACGATGTAGATACATCAGAGTACTTACCGCAAAATGTACCAGATTTCCAAAATGTAACAAGCTCGGAACCCACATTTTGGAGGAAAGCATGCCACGTGTTTTTATTGATCTATGTTTACTTTGTTTTATCAATAGGCCTTACATTTTATAATCCATGGCTTTATAATACTTATGTGAGTAGTTACATACATAACAAATTAGTAATTTGGTTTTATCTCTCTCTATTATTATTATTATTATTTAGTTATAATAAAATTTTGCTTATATCACATTTAATTATCATAAAAAATCTTGTTTTATTAAAAACAAACTCTCTCTACATATTTACAAAAATATATAAGTTTACTATTAAGAATTTGCAATATCTTTAGGGATTCAATTTTCCACTTGGAGTAGTAGTTTGCCATTTGATTATAAAGTTTACATTGTCCGCATTAATAAGATGCATCAGAAGATATTTTACTGGCAGACGGATAAATCTACCATGGCAAAATATAATTTATTCAATAATGGTACCTGGTATAGCCAGTGGTGTCGATATTGGTTTATCCAATTGGGCACTTTCATTGATTTCAATATCTTTGTAGGTATAAATAATATTAGAACACCAATTATATATATATGTATATACAGTATAAGACATTTATTATTATTTATTATAGTTAAATTCCTTCCTAGGGTTACTATGACTAAATCAACTACCATTATATTTATTCTTGGATTTTCTCTACTTTTTAAACTGGAGAAAAAGGTATATATATATAAGGCTTATTTCTAATTAAAACATTACATATTTATTTATTAGGGCTCTCATACATTATCTTTTAACAGGCAAATAATAATTATTGTTTATTGTAGTCATGGTCTCTAGTAGGGATAGTGGTGATGATAGCAGGAGGATTAGCAATGTTCACTTATAAATCTACCCAATTTGGTGTTCTTGGATTTATATTGTGTCTCTTAGCATCGTTTGCGAGTGGTATTCGATGGACCATGACACAACTCATTATGCAAAAATCCAAACTCGGTCTCCACGATCCGATAGACATGATGTATTATATGCAACCTTGGATGCTATTACCCGCAATATTTGTAACTGTGTGGTTTGAAGGTAATTCGCAATATTTCGAATAACGGAATTTAATGAAATTTTATAATTGACCAAACAAATGAAAATTTTATAATTGGCCCACGACTCAAATCAATATCTCTGGACTACATTTGATATGATTTCACATTTTACATACACGACTTGATTTTAAATTTGATCATGCATTGATCAGCACACTTTTTTGAGGATAAGTGGACAAGGAGAAAGTAGAAAGAAACACGTCATCAATCTTTGCTAGATTTGCTACAGATCAATTTTTCACTTATATACATAGACCTTTCTTGTGACTATTATCATATCTTATCATATTAGAATCTGAATTTTATGTTTTGGCCAAAGAAGCATAAGTGAATGTCAAAACGTTCCAGATATTTTTTATTGTTGATACAATTTTGTCTTTTTAGAATAAATAAAATCCAATTATTGCTCATTGAAGTCTTTTTAATAATTTTATCTATTAAAATTTTATAATTAATTAGACATCATAGAAGTAATAGCAATAAAAAATTTTTTTTAGACTCTTAATTATTTAGTCATAATAAGCGTTGCATGTTTTATTATATAATTTACGGAATATTGAAAACATTAAATTAAATTTTAGGAAGTAGAATATACAATGGTATTAGAGTTACCGATTGGAGCGATATTAGTAGTATTTTATTAACTACAAGTGCTGTAATAGCAGGTGCCATTTTAGCATTTAGTATGGAAGTGATGGAATTTTTAGTTGTTACTTACACTTCTAGTCTGACATTGTCGATCTCGGGAGTATTTAAGGTAAATGGATTAATTGATTTTATTACTTTTTCTCATATTGCATGACATATCTTATATTTTATTCCCAGTGAAACACTGTGACAATTTTAATAAATTATAAAAAGACTATAATTCACAAACTAACATATTTTGTATATTTAGATATATAATTAACATAATATTTTTATGCAGGTTATCAAATTTTATATTGCATCTGTCATAAAATATTTTATATAAGTATATATAAGTTCCATTCAATCAATATTTTTCAATTCTTATATCTTTTCAATTTCTATGATTCTTTACAGGAAATATGTACATTAGTGCTAGCCTTTGCGTTGAAGGGTGACCAAATAACTGGCCTTAACTTTATAGGATTGTTAATGTGCCTTGGTGGTATCATGCTTCATGTTGTCCAGAAAGTGTTAGTCAATAGAAAGAAAGTGGTTGATAATTTGGAATTACAATCAAAAGTGATTAGCAACATTGCTAAACATGAAGAGGGAACTGATTCGAATGTACCATTATTGACAGAAAAATCAACGTCTCTAATGAATCTTCTTAATGCCGAATTTAGTTCAGATGAAGACGGTGATTTGAAGGAGGGTGATAACTCGAGCCAAATACTGTCAGATATTTTGCAACGCAGGGAACAGTGATACACCATGAATTTTTAGCTTTGATACGTGGAATTAATTTATCAAGAAAAGCATTCCAAAACAATATATGTTTATGACTTGCAGTATTTTATAATTTTGTAAGTTTTGCAGCCAATAATGGAGTGCTAACATCATTAATTTTACATCATAACTTTATGCCTTACGAATGGCGTAAAATATGACTAGAAACAAAACGCATTATAAGTCTTCTAAAGGATATCTTTGAGACGTTCTTTAAGATTTTTTTAGATGTTTGTGTATTGTGGAGATATATTGAAAGCATAAAAGACTTATTAGTAACATGTAATGTATGGGTAATATAAAATGTTATGTGAGAGGGATGGTCCGATCAATTTCAATGTATTATTGCATAAGCCTGATATATGAATATTCTAGAAAATTGCAAAGTACAAACATAGAAAGTATGAAATGGAACCTTGTCGTATATGTCATGTATCGATATTGAGATAAAAATGCCACTACCTGTGAAGAACATGATTATTAATGTTATTGTTATTATTATTATTATTATTTGAAATATTATAAACAAGAGCTTTGCATGCAAGTTATATATGATATATAAATCCTTTTAAATTATGTGACACTAGTTTTCTACTCTTAGGATATACTTCCCAATAAGACAACGATAATTCAATATTTGTGTATATATATAATCTTTTAATGATGAACGCACAATAAACTTAAATAAAGCATACTAATTGACACGTACATTAATATATAAAATTTAAATATATATAATTTATTTTAAATGATTATATATATATAATATTCTACTTATAATATTTATATAAAATACGATAATATATTACTGTTAATATATTAACTAATAATATATTACATGCACTATATTCAAGATGTTAACAGTAATGTATTTACTATACCAAAAAATTTAATAAAGTTATGTAATTTTCATATCAAGGATGGGTTTTATAATTTGATTAGAGCTTAATAAATATTTTACATTATATCATAATCTACAACAATATTAAGCATTATAAATATTGTATGCAGTAAAATTGTCAAAATAAGTTGTGATAAGCTAGAAAGTAATTTAGTCAAGTTCTTATAAAACCGATCAAGTGTTCGGAAAATGATTACCGAGAAGGTATCGAGTTAAAGTAATACACGCGATATGTAAAATAAGAAATAGAGTATGTGATATCGATCAGAATTATTACTGCATCAATTTTCTAAAATCGAAATAATATATAAATCGACAGTGATATAGGATCAGTTGGTAGTTCCTAAAATTTAGTCTGTAATCGCGCACATCTGAAGATTCTAAAGTGCAAAAATAAATCAAGATTATCTGTGTGTGTATATATCTATTCAAATATATATTTTGTAAAGAAGCATAAAGCTTTTCATTTGTGCATGGGTTCCAATTCTTTGAAGAGAGAATCCCTTAAAAAGCTATATTGAACATGAATACAACTCTCAATTTGCATATTACAGAGGAAAAGAGAAAGAAAAATATTAAATATGTAATAATAAATACATATATGTAATAATAAATAAATGTCCACAATATACAAACTATATGATACTTTCCTCTGTCTCTCTTTCTCTAAAAATTATTTTTAACAACTCGTTAAATTTTAAAGTTGCTCTAGGAAATATAGAGAAAGTAAAATACATAGCAAATATATTTTCTGTGTCAATATATTATGTTATATTTATTAATAATAATCAATAATAATAAATTTAATAATCAAATGGCGTAGACACAGATATATTAATAGATAATTTATTATTGTATTTTGGAATAGCCTTATTTTTCTATTGTCACAAAACCTTATTTCCAACGTATATTATGTCTCTTTAATAAATAATAATATATAATTATAAAAAAATTATATGTTACTCTCACAAGCAATTATTAATATTCTATAATCTAAAATCAAGAAATAGTCAATCAATAAAGTTAGGACAAGTAGAAATAGTCAAGACAAGATCACACCATGGTAAATTTTAAAAACTACAGATACATAATTTTTCGCCTCTTTGGGAATTTGCTCTATAATACTTAGTAATTATATTTAATATGGATATTTTTTTTAAATAAACCGCAAAAAATTACAGTATAGATACAATAATGTAGTTGGAGTGTTGTTCGATTAAAGAATATTGGATCAAATCCTATAATATAATAGAAAGTTTCAGTTATTTTGTGTGTATGTTATATATATATATATATATATATATATATAAGATCGTTTACATTATTCTACTATAAACTATACATTCATTGTATATGAATATAATGAAATTTTCTAATCATCTATTATAATAAGCAAGACAGTGTGATCACGTTCCCTAGTTCTAATAATTATTTTAATGCTGATTAATAAATAATAGTCAACTTTCATCCTTTATAAATTAAATAACAAACCTATCTTTTTTTTACTTATTTTGTTTTATTTGATTAGTTTTTTTAGATTTGGCTTCAATCCTGTGTTCCAATTTACGAATCAATCCATCTAATTCGTCCTGAGAGGAATAAAAATCAATTAATTGATATTTTATAGTTCTTGCATAATTAGAGAAAGAGAATATACTAATTAATTAAATATAGTAAGAGATGTTATACTTACTTCGTCATAGGTATACATTAGAGTGCAATGTTTCAAAATCTGCTTTTTATGATTGATTAATTGCAATGCATGTGGCAAACAGTAAACACTATCATCTTGCGAATTGTTCATCAATGAGACAAACAAATTGGCTCTACATGTCTCACATTCGAAATCGCCATCATCCTCTTTCACTCTTTTTCCTTTCTTCCCTTTTCCACTATCTGGCAGAGGCAATCTTTCTCTATTATTAAGACCCACATTTTCCAGTTGTTTACGATAATCTAACTCCTTCTCACGGATCTTGATTACGCTCGGCAATATCTAATTATATTAATATATTTAGTGCTCAATAATTTATATAATAATATTCGATTATTTTATGTTTTTTAAATTATAATCCTGTAATTATAATACAAATTTAATTTTACCTGTTTTAATATATCTATATGAGATCTGGTATCATTAATAATATTAAATAATAACCTCTCGAATGAAAAAATAGAGGGTTCACAACTGTCTTGTATGTCCTGAAACCATATCATGTTTCAATTTAAGTAACGAAATCATTACAAATTTCAGAGAGAAAAGGTTCTATACACATCGGCACATATACCTTGAATACTTGTTCGGCTGTTTCCAACCAGGATGGTTGTGCGAAATATACACTTTCGGATACAACGTAACCGGTGCATATACTCGACGTGAACGCTTTTGGAAATACAATTATGAACTGTCCCGGCTCTTGCACGGTCTTACATAACGGCACACCGTTACTGACTAACAATTCTGGTGGGACCATGGCAGTGTCGGAAGGCAACCATATAGTTTTATTTTTACAATATCGTGGTACCATCTTCGAGAGTGCCTCTCGGAAATTGTTGTTATGTTCGTCGGGTATCCCATACCAAATTTTTTTAGCACCTGTATGTAGATATTCTATCCATGGCAGACCATGTGGATCGCGATACCAACAACAAGCGCTAAACAACATACCCACGTGCAGCGTTGGCACGGTCACACCTAAAAATAAATGAGAGTTGCACGGCTTGTACGAAAATATTATCGTTGTATTATAAATTGCATACCCATTAACGGGCCCAAGGCTCTCAATACCGATCCGGCATTATTAGTGAGTACTTTGAGATTCCAGGAGTGTCTGGCGAACGGGCTATTTTTGGCAACGGAAAAGCCAAATCCACGACCGCTTGAATCGATGCTCGCCGCGTGTACACAGACGTGACGTTTCCTTTCGGCGACATGTTTCCAAAACGCACTCTCCACCTCGTCGGCTGAAGCACCTTCGGCTTCGTTTCCTCGTTGATTTTCGCCGAACCACATACGTTGTGTATTACGGGCGATTCGGTAAAAAGCGTTCAACGGCATGTTTCTTCCCTATATATATATATATATATGTAATTAGTATATATATATCAATTTAATTACCCTATATAACTGCGATAATAGTATAACAATATAATGTTTTTTGATTATTAACTAATAATTATGTTGCCAACATAGGATGCAGAATATGTCAAAAATAGTACACTCAATAAATTAATTTTTAGTGAAATAGTAAAAATTTAATGAAAGAATTGGTTTTCGGATTTATTTAAATTTCACAGACTTATTTAAAATTAAAGACTAAAAAGCATTAGCAAATTTACAGTTTCCAAAGAATGCACATTCAAGAGAATGATTTAACATCTATTTTGCAAAACAGGTGAAAGAATTATAATAATTATTAATGTCTCTTGTCATACCTTCACAATACATTCTTCAGTTTCATCAGAACTATCATCTTCTTCTTCCTCATCATTATCATTGGATGACGCTTCCTGCCTTTGCAAAGTTTTGCTTTCTTTTTTCATCCATTCAGCTTCAACCTCGTCAAACAATTTCTCGCGTTCCTCTGTGAAAACAAAAGCATATAATCTAAAAGCTTTAACAACATACTCTCTTTTAAAATGTAATTATTTATAATATGTGATATGTATACTTGGGGATAATGTATCATATGGCAATAAATATTTGCAGTAAATATCATCTAATTTGGTAACACGATCTTGTGCAGATTTAGGTATCTTCATACCATCTGCTACCTTTTGCCATTTTTTCTTTTCAATAACTTCTTTCAATCCACCCAAGTTTTGAACTGTTTGATACAAGTGAGGTAAATCAACTTCCATCCCACCAATCTAAAGGAATTAATTATATTGATAATTATA